CACACACACACACACACACACACACACACATACATGTGCACGCCCACACACACACACATACACACGCAATAACACACACAAAAAACACATGCCAACACATACATGCAACCACGCGCTCACCTCAAATAGACGTTTACTGTTAATCTTGAGCGTATCGCGAAATCAATACCCCCTTTCCTTAGCGGTTAAAGCGGATAAATGCCACAATTCGACAAAGATCCTGACGGGTTTATCTTTTTTTCCCAAATCCCCAAAAATGCGAGACAAATAACAACAATACAATGGCCTTCGTTCAACAAATGCATTACGCTATTGTTATTGGCTACCGTGAAAATATCGACATACTTCTCTAAGAACTCTAAAGTTCTTTTCCAACGAGCAAATGGAAAGCTTTTCTTCACATAAACTTTAGCTGGGATTTTGTATTCGCCCTTGCCCGGTTTTCTCAAACAGGCAAGGTCGAAGCGAACGTTTTGTAGGATATAGATTGTGTGGATTAAATCGTAAAAACCCTGACGTTTAAAGAGAAATGAAAATAAGGAAGTGCCTTTTATACCAAGGTGAGTTTCCGTCTCCTTAATCTAAACTGCTGCTCACGTCAAAAGCAATTGTAACTTATAACTATGTAACATGAGTCACTTCTGATTTGTGACCTCTGTAAATATCTAGGCCGTAGCCTAATTCGTTATCGAGATATTACCGTTTCTTTTTCTACTACATCATAGAGATTTCAAAATCGTAAACGATTTCAAAATTATTTTTTTCGAAACTATGAAAAGTGGATATAGTCACTTCTTGCAATCAATCGTCGAAATGCGTTAATCTGTTGTAATTCTCTACCGTAAAAATAGTAACATACTTCTCTAACTCAAAAGTTCTTTTCCAATCCGCAAATCAAGAGTTTTTCTTCACAATATATATAACTTCTTTTTTTGTATCCGCCTTTGCCCAGTTGTCTCAAACAGGCAAGGTCGAAGCGAACGTCTTGAAGGATCTCTAGACTGTGTGGATTAAATCGTAGAAACCCTGACATTGAAAGAGAACAGAACTTAACGAAGTGCCTTTTATGCTAGGGTGTGATACCGTCTCCGTAATCTAAACTGCTGCTCACACTGATAACAACTGCAACTTGTAATTAATTGTGACATGAGTCACCTCTGATTTGAGACCTCTGTAAATATCTAAGCCGTAGCCTAATCAACGATCGTACATAACAAGATAGTTCACTCCTCTCTTTGAGCAAATTTTAAAAAGTGTCCTCAAAATCCGGTGGCGCCCTCTTCGAAAAAGCGCGGACTTTGCGAACAGAGTTACCGTACTTGTGTGGAAAAAAAATAAAAGTGAAACTAACAAACTGTGCTATGTCTTTTCTTCTTCTGGAGAAACGAAAGAGACTTTCAAAACAAAGACGGCTGCGCCTAACACTTTTTGGCCGGGTGAACTATCTTGTTATGAACGATCTTTGGCCTAATTTGGTATCGAGATATTAACGTTTCTTTTTTTTTTTACTATAACATAGAGATTTGAAAATCGTTAACAATTTCAAACTCGTTTTTTAGAAACTATGAAAAGTGGATAGGGCCTATAGTCACTTCTTGCACTCGGCCGTCGAAATGTATTAAGCTGTTGTAATTCGATAACGTAAACATAATACTATTATCAACATACTCATACAATGAGGAGTCCTCTGAATTAAAACGGGCATAGTCACAAACTGGAAATTGTGAGGGTGTCAATTTTAAAAGCTTGTGGACTCATAACTTCATATTTGTTTGATTGGTGGTTTATTTGATATGTTTGTTGGATGGAAAATTCAACAACAATAATCAACCAACCAGAATGCATGGTAATATCCAAAAAAGCAGCAAATCCTAGTTGTAATCTCATTAACAAAGGTGAAAAGATCAAACATGTACAACACTTTAAATAATATATGATAACATCTGATGCCAAATATTCCTAGGAAATAAAACGGAGAATTACAATGGCTATAAGGCTAGTTTCAATTAAATGAGCCCAATCCTGAAAAATAGAAACATCTCAATGAACACCAAAATGAAAGTACTGAAATGCTATGTTTGGTCAACCCTTCTATATGGCATTGAATGTTGGACAATCATTAAAGACAGTGAAAATGAAATAGAAGCAACAGAAATGTGGAAAAGAAATCAAACGAGGTAGTACTTGATGAAGCCCACGTGGGACGGTCAATGTTAAAAACTATCAGGAAACGACAAATGCAGTTTTTGGGACACCTGAATAGACATAAGGGTTTTGAACATCTAGCTCTCACTGGCAAAATTGAGGGCAAACGTGGCAGGGGTAAGCCCAGAACAACATACTTAGGGAACCTAAACAAATTGGTAACAGGGAAAGATCATGGAAACGTAGCTTTTTTAAGAGCTTCCGAGCAAAGGAATGAATGGAGTACCATGATCGCCGATGTCTGTCGCAGATCTGGCACTGGATGATGATGATGAATCAACCAACAGCTGAACAGAAATACTGTTAATAGGGAACAGGTGTTAAAAATTGATACCCTCACGATTTTCAGTTTGTGGCTATTCGCTGTTATTTTCCAGTGGACTCCTCACATCTGACTCTAAAGTTTGTTTTCAATCAGCAAATCTAAACTTCTGCTGGGATGTTGTATCCGCCCTTGCCCGGTTGGTCCACACCTGCAAGGTCAAACCTGCCTCTTAAAGGATCTAGATTGTATCAATGGAATCGTCAAAACACTGACATAAAAAAACCCTTAAATATATTCCTTTAATTTATGCCATGGTGTGGTACCGTCTCCTTAATCTAAACTGCTGCTCACGTCGATAGCAATTGTAACTTGTAACGTAAGTCAGCTCTGATTTGAGACAAGTCGTGTCTGTGGTGTAGCGGTTAGGTGCTTCCGTGTCGCACACAGGAGACCCCAGTTCGGTTCCCGACAGGGGGGTGGGGGGTATTTAGTGTCTCATTCTTTCTGCTAGGATTTTGTATCATTCTCAGCCCAAATTGACCCTGAAAGAGGCAAAGTTTAATGTCCTCCTTCTAAATTATTTAAATTGTGTAAATAAGGGCGTAAATAAAAACTCATTTTAAAATAGAAAATTTTAAATACTAGAAATTATAAAAGAAAAAAAGAACACGTTTCTGACAGAACATCTTATTTAATTTTACTTAATAATCTCTCCTTGTGCTTGGCATTTACATGACCAAAATTCAGTCGATTGTGCCTTAAAACTCGACCTACTCAATCAATCAATCAATCGATCAATCAATTAATCAATCAATCAATCAATCCTTGTGTTTTGTTTTGTCCAGTTCACAGAGGTTCCCCTGGATGGTCCGGCTACTCTCCTTCCTGTGCGTGTGTCTGCTGGCGTGTCTCCTCACCTTCAGAGTGGCCCTCAGCTACACCACAGCGACGTTTGCTGCTCCGATGTCACGTGGGAATGCCCCGCGGGGCATGTCACTCCTGTTTGACACCCAGAGGTCAAAGGTCGAGGGTCAGCCTTTTCTTCCAGTGATGGACCAACAGCAACAGACAGTTACGCAGCAGTTACAGCAGCAGCAGCAGCAGCAGCAGCAGCAGCAGGAAACACCCCCGGCCCCAACCGTCACACAACTACCTCTGGAGACGCACATCACAACCTCAAAGCCGGAGTCTCTGAGAACAGAGCGACTGTCTGTGACTGCAACGCCGCCAATAAATAATGTGCAACAGAATGTGCGCCGAAAACGCTACATCAAAGATAAATACCACACAGCTTATATCCCTTACCTCAAAGGGATCTACAACATGAGAATTACATGCGATAGAGCTACCAACGAAGTTTACCGTCACAACTTCACTTACCCGCCAAACTTCAGCTGTAAGAGTCAAATCCCAAAACTCACGGAGTCGGAGAGAAAAATCAAAACGAGGCAACAGCTCCGGATCTGGTGCGAGGGCGAGAAATCGTTGGGCGCTGTGGAGACGGTCAGTTGGGACACGCCCCTCCAAACGTTCAGCGACAATTCGTCCCGCGCATGCCTGAGCTTGTACATCCGGCAGAACTGTTACGACGACTACCCGATCCCCAACATCGTCCACTGGCTCTACTTCGCCGACGGCACCCTGGACCTCCGGAAGGCCGTGCCGTTTTACAGCGTGTTCAGCATCCTTAAGCCGTGCCTGGTTCTGCTGCACGGGAACCACTTCCTTCCGGGACCTTACTGGGACGCGCTCATCCCTCACGCCCCAAACCTCGTGCACGTGCCCCGCTCTCCACAGACTCACATCCATGGACGCAAGATCGTGCACGTGGCCAACCAGGCGGACATCGCCAGGCTGGAAGTGCTGCAGGAGTTCGGAGGTTTGTACCTGGACAACGACGAGATCATCTTGAGGCCCGTGGACATCTTCAGGGCTACGGGATTCGCGGCTTTCCACGAGGGGGTCACGAAAACGGTTTCCAACGCCGTTCTTTTCGCGAGGCCTGACCACGAGATCACGAAGATCTGGCTGAAGAATTACGACAGCTACGACGGTGTGTCTTGGGCTTCCCACTCTATCCTCTACGTCACTGAGCTACCCCGCCATCATCCCGACCTCATCCAAGAGTTCGCTCCCTTGTTTATCAAATACGACTGGCAACGTCTTCATAATCTTTACCGCAAGTCATGCAGCCTCGGAGATTCGTTCGGAGCACATCTCTACGCCTCGTCATATCCCGAGAAGGCAGACTTTGAGTACCTGAAAACTACCGACTCTACTTTTGGGAGACTAGCTAGATACGTTTTATTCGGTGATGCTCGCATTTGTACGTGAAATACCACCTGTATAGCTTGTCCAACTCAAGAAAACCATGGACTGTTTGTTTTCTTTGGGGGGGTTCTTTTGGGTGGGGGGGGGGAGGGGCTTGCAGATAACCTTTGATTGGACGTAGAGATTTTTGTCAAACGTTTACTAGTAGTCTTGTGTCAATGTGTCCTAACTCACTGTAAGAAAAGGGTTCTAACCTGGCTGAGTATTAATAAAGAAAGTTATCTCTTTGTCTTAGTTTTTAAAACCCCTGACATTATTGGGAACAAAAAAATTGATGACATACAGTGCAACAGGAGTATATCCTCGTATTTCGCCCTTTTAAATCAACCTGAAAAATAAGAAAATATATAGCTTGAAAGCACAAAACAAGATTGTCACATATTTATTTAAAGTGTGATAACTCAAAGTACATGTAAGTTGTATCAGCTCCACAAACGTTTAATAACTATGCTGTTGTTGAGTGAGGCGAGCTATAGATATCTAGCTTAGAGTGTATTATTTTCCAGCGACACCACGCGATCAGTAGAAGAACGTGATGGTAGGAAGTCTTTCCTTTGCCGAAGATGACGATGAAATCCTGCAGCTCATCTGTGGACGAGCATGTGGCTGTGCAATCCGATCTTAGATGTACAGTGTCTGTTGCAGCGGGGACACTGGAATGTCGTGGTTCAGGTGGTTAAGGAAGTGAATAAAAATAATTTGGTAAATGTAGTTGGCGTTTGGGGGATGGGGCAGGTTAGGATGAGGGTGGGGGGGGGGGGT